AAAATTATTCATTCGCTATCTCGGCCATCAATGAGACAAACGAATATGTGGCTTGGTTTCGAGGCTAACACAGAACAAACCAGAAATCGAAATTATAGTACTGAAAACACAATATTAACAAGTTGATGACGAGGTAAGGTGCATAGGTCTTACCAAGTGCCATGAAAATGTTTTGCTGAATATGATAATTAAACAAAAAAGTCTTTCCTTCTTCTTGTTAGCCCAAGTATAGCTTTGACAATACATTTTCGTATCTTCAAGTATGCAGCTGTAAATGATGTACAACAAGTATTATATAGGGATGACTTGACGGGCTGGCATCTGGCGGTAAGCTGAGACTATATCATTCTCAATCCCRAAAATGTTTGCTTGCAAGATTTTGATTTCTAGAATGATGCTCCTGATTATATTATATTAGCAATGTACATAGCCTAAATAGCACAGATTGCATTTATTTGATAAATTTTCGCAGGAATATTTTTCTCCTATCATACGTTACCTACTCCGTATTTTTACTTTTGCAGGTGTTTTTTAAATGTGGAAAAAAACGGGCGGCGAAGGAGACAGCATGTCTCAGGATTCCACCCTGGAAGACAAACTACAAGGTAAGTACAGTTGGTTTTGATCGTCAATTATCGATCGCGTAAGAGACTGACGGTGCTATGTTGAGCTAACTTAACGTCATAAATTGCTGTTCTGAATATTATTTTGGCAAATAATCTTTTGTTCCGAGTGCATTATAGCTAGTTATCTTTTTTTTAATATCTTATTGCATTGTCTTCGTTTCAGCTTGTGATAATAACTTGCCGCAAAATGATGATTGCTTCTACTATACTGACGAAAAAAGTGGTAAAACATTTGGTACGTAGACCGTARTATATCCGTTCKGCGTGACATTCTTCTTTGTTTTAAATTTACCATATATATGAATCGCGATTTTGTTCCAGGATATAACCTAACAGACATGGCCAAACGGCTCACCGTGTTGGACGGTGTAGAAGAAGAAGGTGGGGCTKACTTTTTTTTGGCATAATAATGTTATCCATTTTAAGTTATAGTGAGGTTTTTCTTCGCTTTTTCCTTCCGCTCTTTCTTGTTTATTACACATCATAAAGCTTTGCAATTAAGTAACAATGCGCTAAAGAACTAGGGAACTCTCTATTGGTCTGCGGCATAGCAAGTTCCCCATGTACGAATGTTTTGGTTTTCACACTGATTATACACCTACTTGCAGAAACGTTGTCATAGAAAATAGCACATTTGAATTTAGTAAAAAGGAATAAATTAAAACAAAACAAAAGAAAGCGTTCAGCCTCAGTGATCTTCTTTTGTCTTTTTAATTTATTCTTTTTTACTAAAATGCAAACGACCTATTTTTTATGACAACGTTTTCGCAAGTAGGTGTATATCAACTTATACTTTATCCACATTTTATTTAAAAAATGTGGATAAACTCTATTTTGAAACAAAGTTTCTTTTGTATTAAAAGCTCCTATCCAATCATAAGCACTCAAAACAATAGCCAAGAGATGCTTCTAATTTGCAATGCTCCCCACATAGAATTGCCTTAATATTGAAGCCAAGGAACGCTTTCATGAAAGCGAAAACAGACATTCAATAAAATATTAGAAAATTCGCTAACTTGTGAAATTATAGCAGATTGTCATGTTTTAACCAACGGGATGGATGTATAATACAATGCACAATCAGCACCTTCTTGCATTCCTTTGCCGTTTGATTCCCTAGTTCTTATACTCGGGGCATCAATTTATGCTTATTACGTGATTTACGCTGCACGAAACAAGCATGAAAATGCATGTACGAGCAAAATAGAGTCGTTTGCAAAAACCCGTGAAACAAAGTGTAATAGGTAAAGTGTAAAAAAGTGTAATAAAGCGTAATAAGGTATATTAAACCAAAACAAAATGGTAGCATAAATAATTGTCCTTCTTTATTTTATATTTCAATTACAAACCAACGAGTATTTCTTTTGTTAACTCCAAATGAACAAGAAAATTGTCATGAACACACTTAAAAAATTACATTGCAATGCCCCATGAACGCTTGTAATACTTTCTTACATTTAATGGGCTTATTTGTTCAAAGGCCGTTAGAATTGCAATGAATGAATTTTGCTGAAAGAAACCCGGAGTGCATCGAGCAAGAGCTTTCGCTTGCGCAAAGACCATCTCAATTGGATTTAGGTCGTATGCATATGCAGGCAGTTTTATAAGTGTGATATTTTTTCGCATTAAAGCTGCACAGAGTCTAGGCTCATTATGTACACTTGCATTATCGGCTACCAGAAACACGTTTCGTGGCAGTAACGGAACTACTTGTTCAATTACTTCGACTAAAATGTCAGCTGAAAAATTCCCAGGAATAGGAATTACTTGAATAACTCCTTCGATGAAACCACAGATACCAAGAGCTGAACATTTTCCGCTGCGCGTTTTGCTCTTCTCGYGGAAARATGGGCACGCCGCCCCCATATCTGCCCSACCGTATTYACGGTTATCCGTTTCACAATTCAAACAAGTTTCGTCAAAAAAATAAACTTTGCTTGGATCAACAGATTTTCTCCATCGAAAGAAAAGCTGACGACACTGACGATTATAAGGCGAATAGSGTTCTCTGGCGACATGTATACACTTCTTTCAAGTTATTCGCAGTCGTTTAAACAACCTAGCGATTGTTGCAATAGAAGGAACATCGGCGCGAGCTAAATGAAAGTCGTCAGTAAGCATTGCCTGAACTCTTGGAGATAAATTGTAGGATAGAGTCTAACCAAGGCTTCCCAGTATGCTTCCATCCACCATTCCATTTTCTTTGGTCGTGTATTCTCAGTGAATGAAAGAGTTAAAATAGCTTTTTCTTGAAACAAACGTATATATTTGTCCACACAGTTATATGAAACTTTACAAATTCTTCCAGTATCTGCGGTCGAAAGCGTATTCAAATATGTGACAATCACCTGAAGTCGTTTTTGCAATGGATAACTTTGACCATATCTGTAGCAACCAAAGTGTGTATTCAAACTCCAGGGCATTTTTCTTTAAGATTTATGCCAATTTCTGAACGGCTTCTGACCACTGGATTTGACAAACAATAGTACATATGCGCTTTTGCATATTATAGTCTTGGAGAGGTGTTGCATTGCAAACGCTTGTATCCTGCGAAAAGTGCCTAAATTTATAACGTGGCAAAATGATTGAAAATGACAATCAATGTTAAACAATTGAGGCGCGATGTGGTTCAGAATAATATTATAATCGTATAATAAACTTTCATGTCCAATAGCATTAGCATTAGCATTTCTTTGGAAGATGTCAAAAAGTGCAATTGCATGAATTTCCCAGTTTCCATGCAAAAAGAGAACAAAGCAACAATGCGGCGTAGTTGTGAAAATGCGATTTGCGTTTGTTTGTTTTTACACGTTTTTTCACAAACATTAACCCCAAGAGCRAGGCTCATCTAGCGAGGCTTGCGTTTGGATTTTGACGTGAAAAAAAAGATGCGAACGGAATAAATACCACTTGTTCCCATCGAGGAACACATTTCGACTCAAATATGTCAGGTCGAACGTGTGCAAAATGCCGTCTTCATGGCCAAATAGAACCTTTGAAAGGACACAAGCGAGTTTGCGCTTTTGCGAACTGTACCTGTTCACGTTGCGCTAGCCACGAATACATTCTGGCTCATAAGAACAGCGCTAGAAGCGACAAGAAGGTTGATAATGATAAAGGGCGAATATGCAGGCAAAGTCTTCAACTTCGCTCTTCTACAGCAACTCAATCAAAGGTTCCATTTCCCGAAATGTCCGAAAATATGCAGTCCTTGCCAACTATGGTTAAAGACAAGCTTGATAGTAGAAAGCTAGCGTTTGAGCTAGCCAACTACGAAGACGCTAAAACTCAAGCAGAAAAGAGAAAAGGTGAGTTAGGGTTTTTATACTTTGCTTACTACTTTATCATTTGAGCATTTCGCCCCTAACGAATATATATTGTTTTTACAGCTCACCAGATAGCTCAACTCAAAAAGCATAGAGTTTTTTATAAAAGCGTCAATTCCTATTCCCAAGATATACTCAAGGAAGCTCCAGAGCTGAGTCCACTAGCTGTACTAAAAACAGCGATACAGCTGCACCAAAAAGAGACGAAATCAACAGGAACCACATTGGAGAGAGAACAGATTAGTAATGCCAATGATCAGTAATTATCAACCTTTGCTTATAGACGAAAAACTGGAGAAGCTAAAGACCGTTTTGCCTTCTGCCTCAGATGAGAAGCTGGCTGCATTAATCGCGCGCGAAAAAGGTGACATGAACGCAGTAGTAGAGTGCATTCTTGAAGAGCCCATAGCCAAGGAGGAATGCTTCTACGAAGATGAAATTCCACACAGAGTCATTGATTTGACAGACGGCACAGTTGATATCCATGATGATCCTCCTGCTCCTCCAGTGGGTACAACCGAAGAGTCTATGGTGGCTGAAATCGCAAAGATTGATGTCGATTGTGATACGCTAAGGAGCWTTCTAAAGAGTGTTGAAGAAAATGAGTCAAAATCAAGCATGACTAATTTACTGTCTTTCAATCGGCCTACACTGCCTGWATGCGTGTCGATTCCAAGTGTCAATGAAGCGAGTTTAATTCTCTCACAAGGTCAAAATGTCGGAAATCTGCAAACGTGTCCGTTTTGCACAGCCTTCATCAACAAAACTGACAAGTATTGTAAGGTTTGCGGTGGTGTTTTTGATATAAATCCTCGTTGGAAAAAAAGGGTTTTCTTTGAATGATGAACCAGTAGTGAAATAATTGTTTTAAATGTGTTTTTTTTTTTGTATTAACAAATGATTGCGAAAGTTAAAAAAAGTTTAATATACAGACATTGTAATTGCATTTTTTTTTTCTTGTCAACCATCATTTATTTTGCTTATCTTGTTATTCAAAATTCTGAATTTGTCTATACATTGAAATGCATTGTTGAAATTAAAGCGTAATAAAATGTATTAAAGTGTGATAAAGTGTATTACACTAAAGTGTCTTTCGCGGGTTTTTGCAAACGACTCTAATGCACACCAATGACTGTGACTGAATCTCTTAGTGTAGAGAGGCACAAAACAATGGAATCTATTTGTTTTATTCCGTAAAATATTTTCCTGTACATTTTTAGAAAGGAAAAAGAAAAGGTAACACAAAGAGTGCTCGCACTAGTTATGTCAAATAGCAGCGCCGTAAGATTAGATCGCTCATCCGTAACCGTGTACAGTTGAACTATTCTGCACGGCCCTCGGCGTAACCGAATATTTTAAATATTTTTCACAGATGACGAGCCTAAATTCGAACCAAGAAACAAGAACCAGAAAGAAACTAGCAGATATGAAACTAGTAACAGAGATGAATCGGTTTATTTTTAGTTACTAAAAATATTTAATTCGTAGCTAGGATTGGTTAATGTTTATTGAGTGATGTTGTACGTCACTTATAGTGTATCAGATTTCTTACTTCAATGGTTTATTCTTCACGTGCAAGTACTAGTAGACTATCATATTCTCATAGTTAGTTTTTTCTCCCGCCCACCCTTCCCTGGAAGTGGGCCGAAGTTTATTTAGATCAGCCTATTTTTAGGTTCCTGCAGTGTTTTCTGTAGTTTACTTCTGATTAAATAAACGCCCTTTCCCCAATGAGGAGTGTCTATTTGTTTTATATGATAACTTTGCGTAGAATCAAGAAACAAGAACCAGAAAGAAACTAGCAGATATGAAACTAACAGACATGAAAAAAAAGAAGAAAAGAAACAAGAGGAAATAGCAATAGATAAAAAAAGAAAGAGGAACTGGGTTAGGAGGGATAAAAGAAAGAAGAGGAAAGGAAACACATAAGCTGAAAACTTGGGAAATTTATGAAAATAGGCATTAACTAATACAGTACTTAACCGCTTATWAGAACCTGAAATTTAATAACCTGCTAGCCAAAAAATATCAATTCAGACCCATTTACATGCGAACCTATTTAATCTAAAYTTTGAAGCAGGTTCTTCAGTAAGGTTCTTATAGAAATTAAACTGCGTAGCCTAAAATTCTACCRAGTATCATTTACATAAGAACCTGTTTAGGCTAAAGTTGATGGGTTCTTATAAGCGTCTAAGTACTCTATCGGGACATACGATAAATATCAATGCCACTTTAAATAAGACAGCTGCTTATATCATCAACATATTTGCAATGTGTTTTAAAAGTTACTCTGTTGGTAGCTAGCGTTATATAGTTATTAATAGTTGGTAGTATATATCTTATAGTAATACTGCCGTCTAATAGGTAACAAAAAAAGTTAGTTTTATTGACATTTATAWGTGCATCAACTATATTTCGAATTTTTGTACTACTACTTCATTAGAGAGCGTTCATTACTTAGCACCAGGTGAGAGGTGGGTGATTGTGCAGCCWCAATGTAAAACCCCTCTTTTCGGCATGTAGCATTCTCAATGACCCCTCCTCTCCTGTGGGAATAAATCTGATAACCCCTCCTTTAAAGTTTCAATATAATCATTGAAATGTGTGGTATTCTGCATTAGATGTTTGGTTGCGAATGGTGAGAAATATCATTGTCATTTGAATTTGAGTGGAAGCATAATTGAACAAGGTACCCACTCCCCATTCACACCCACCTCTAGGGGAGCGGGGATTTGCCTGCCACTGAAAATGGTGCCATAATAAATGAGTGAGTAACGGGTGTGGAACYATTTATGAGGAAGTTAATTATACTAAGTGTAGTACTTTGTAATGATGAAGTTGTAAATAAGACTGTAATGTACAGAATGTAATTATATTAATAAATGTTGGACGAAAAATAAGCAAAGAATAAATACCCCCCCCCCCCCCAAAAAAAAAAAAAACAACAACAACAACAACAACAACAACAAAAGAAAATTTGGTATATGGCTTTTAAAGAAACTGAGCATTACTCTTGTCTATATGGCCGGCATTTTACTCATAGACTTTTATTCTGTAGTTTAGAAGCTCCTTTAGGTAAAAAGAGATGAAAAAAAAAACACATTAATTTATAAGCTGCCGGCCATTTAGGGAAGGTACGTTTATTGCCAGGGGAGGGGGAGGGCGAGTTTTCAGAGTAAGATTGTGTGAATTATGAAACATTTGACCCTCCCTTCAAAAGTACCAAAAATCTTGATGAGCCTCCTCCCATCCCACACACACATCTCAAGCTATCAAAAGTTACAGAAAACGCACGCCATTATTCACACTAATGGGATGTGGGCAAAACAAACCACAAAAGAGTTCACACACTATCGGTGCTGAGTTTCCCCATATTGTTGCAGCATTTACAATAATCTTTTTCTTGCTACTGATGAAAGCGAAAAGTAGTCATCATGTTTTTCTTTTTATTACCAATTTCGAAAGTAAAACTTGAAAAAAGAGGTTTCAACAAATAGTTTTGCAAGTTTATTTTTGCTCAGAGTATGAGTTTCTTTTGCTGGTACCTACAAGACACAAGTAGAAGGAGTAAACGGGGTCTGTTCTTCTAAATAATTGTTCATGTACGAATGTTTTCCTGAGAAAGTGATTTTTGAGCTACCTTGTTGACAATCTCACAAGCAAATCTGACGTCCTTCCTTGTGTTCCTGGCAAACTTTCTAAAGGTCAAAAGAGGCTTATAAGTAAAAACGGCTTGTATTTTTGGGGGATTTTTTTTGTCCTGGTAAAAATTCTTAGAAAGTACGCCTTGCATGGAGAGCTATTTTTTTTCTGGTAATCAATTATGACATAAGAACATAAGTTGGGACATAAAAACAAATTTAAGAAAAGATACACATAAGCCTGACAGATATTATCCCTGGGCTCCTCCTAAAGAAGTACGCATTGAGAAAGGAACGTGCACACTCGAACCATGTCGTTCGATGGTGTAACTATACTTGAATAAGCTTTCGAGTAAATATGTAACCCTTCCCTAAAGCTTGCAAACTTGATATATGACCCTCCCCCCTTGTAATAAACGTACATTCCCTTAGAATTTTCAAGACCTTGTCCGGTAACCGGTAGAGTGAAAACACTAAAAGCGTGCAACACTTTCCACAGTATTTCTACAAAATAGTGCTAATTAAACAATAGAAAACAATAGAATTAGCATAATATAGCAGTATTTAGTTTTTGTTATTTACTTTAACGATGTTTGATTAATAAGAAACAGTTAATTAACTAAAAAAAGGGATTGATTAAAAATGATTGATAGATTAAAAATGGCCGATAGCATTGGTCGGTTGTTTTTGAAGTTGAAGTTTCAATGTTGTCAATGACATAGTGAATGACTTGTTATTAGAAGCATATGTGATATTATCACGTAGTACAAGCATAGGCGTACCGAGCAAGAAAGACCTCCTTCTGTATGTGTAACTCATAAGATTCTGAAGTTTGCTCTGTTTCGGACTTTGTCTCTCACTGACTCCGTATGACCTAGTACCCGAGGTGTGTACTAGAGACCGCAGCAACGTTCTCATGAAACAGCGAGCTTCAGTGCACGAACTTAAACGCATCTCCAGAGAAATATCGGCGAGGAATCTTCCCGCTCTGATTCGAAGATGAGATCGATCTAAAACGTAAGTCCATATGTTGGATTCGTCTTTGTTTATAAACTTCGTTATGTGGTAGTCTACTTATTATGTTTATTAACAAAATGTGCACGTGTGTTTTATATTGGACTTGCTTTATTTTCAGCATTTCAACTCCAGGAGAGGAATAATTCTGAACTAATTCTGATCTACTTCTGAACTAGGTAACGAAGACCTTTTCGACACTGAAGGGATCAAATGTTTCAATAATTTTCCTGTATATACTGGAAAGTGAAAGGTATTTAAGAGTGAGTTTCTGTAAATATCAAACATTTTCGAAAAATCTTGGCCATCTCAAAAATTCGATTTTCCTGAAACTTTCCATACAAGTTTGACTCAYCCCGCAATAAAGRAAAATCGGTATCATTAGGTCGGGGGGGCCTTCGTTTCCATGGCAACCACCCCCACTATTTTGGGTCATTTTTGATCCAAAACAGCTGTAAATAGGTAGCTTTTTAGGCCATCATAACTATTAAACAATTTTGCAACACCATTCTTTTGCTATATCACAGCAAAGAATCATCCTTGGACTTTTGTTGGAGATACTTTTCTTTGGTCTGGTTCCCATGGTTATTCCATAATGAAATTTACAACACACTGAGGTTTTCAATATTTATTAAATGCTCAATTTTGGGTAACTTTGGTGTCTTGTATCTCTGGTGGTAACGCTCTGTTT